TGGTTGACATGGTGTATCGGTACACTCAAGTGTATCGGTACCCAAATTACATTCGATGTTTCTCAGAGCCAGGAGTGTATCGGTACATCAGCTGTGTATCGATACCCAAATTAATTCAAAGTTTGGGGTGTATCGATACATCTAATAGTGTATCGGTACCTCCCTTTGTAAAAATCATTTTTGGCCTGATTATGTTCGAATACTTTGTAAAAATTATTTCTAAAAAATTAAGATTAAAACAAAATTTTACACTTAAGTAGGATTAAAATGACATTTGAAAATGGAGTAATATTTTTATATTCAAAATTTAATCGAATATATATTTTAAAATTGAATAAACCTTAAAATTCAATATTACTTTATTTGTTATATCGAAACATCAAAGTTTTCAACACATGTTAAACTGGGTTCTTGGGAATCTGATGATAGCTTGATTATCACACAAAACTTTAAAGTGATCCTTGCGATTAGTGTCAAGTTCTTTTAGTAGTTTAGTAGCCAAATTCCTTCACATATCAATATTACTTTATTTGTTATATCGAAACATCAAATGTTTTCAACACATGTTAAACTGGGTTCTTGGGAATCTGAATGATAGCTTGATTATCACACAAAACTTTAAAGTGATCCTTGCGATTAGTGTCAAGTTCTTTTAGTAGTTTAAGTAGCCAAATTCCTTCACATATCCATTCCTTCACATATTCCCATGCTAGTTGCTCTAAATTCAGCTTCAATAATACTTTAAACGACAAATTGTTTCTTACTTCTCCAAGTAGTAAGGTTACCCCAAACAAAAAGTGCAGTGCCACTAGTCTTCTTTTAGTGAGATCACCGACCCAACTAGAGTATGTAAAAATCTTAACAGTTTTGTCTTGTGTCTTCTTAAACATTAAGCCATGTCCTGGTTTTCTTCAAGTACTTGAGAATTCTATTTGTGCTACCATATACTCTTCATAGAATTAGCCATGTGTTGACTTTCACATTTACAGTAATGCTATATCTGGCCTGTCAAGGATAAGTAATTAGTTTCCCACTAATCTTTGAATCTCAAGTTTGTCTCCATTGGTGTATCAACCGGCTTACAACTAAGAAAACCAATTTCTTTAAGTAAATCAAGTACATACTTCTTTTGTTTATCACAAGTCCTTTTGATCTTGCCACATCCATTCCTAGGAAATATCTTAGCTTTCCCAAGTCCTTGGTTTCGAATTCCCTATTTAATAACTTCTTCAAATTATTAATCTCCATCATCTTCAGTAAGAATTATGTCATCCACGTACACAATTAGGATAGATTTTTATTTGTAAGAACCTTGATGAAAAGAGTATGATCGGCGAAGGACTGCTTGTATCTGTTTTTAAGAATGACTTTAGTGAACCTCTCGAACCAAACTCTAGGTGATTGTTTTAACCTCTAAGAGACTTGTTGAGCTTGCAAACCTTGTTGCTACCTTCAACAGACTTTAAGCCAGGTGACAATTTCATATTACTTCTTCCTTTAGCTTGCCATTAAGAAATGCATTTTTTTACATCAAGTTAGTGTAATTGACAATCGCAATTTACAACCAAACTTAAGAGTACTTGAACACTGTTAAGCTTTGCCATAGGTGCAAAAGTTTATGTGAAATCTATCTCATATGTTTGCGTAAAGCCTCTAGCCACTAGTCTAGCTTTGTATTGTTGGATACTACCATTGTAGTTATAATTTACAAAAAAGATCCATTTACAGCAAACAACATTTTTTTCCTTGAGGAAGGTATATAATGGTCAAAGTATCATTTTTTTCTTGTGCACAAATTTCCTCTTCAATAACCCTTCTACATTTTAGATCCTTTAGAGCTTCAGCTATGCTTGTGGGAACTTGTTCTTTATCCAAGGTTGATATAAATGCTTAAAAAGAAGGCATCAATGAATTATAACCAGCAAATTTTCCAATAGGATGCTTGGTCCCCTATCTATATCCTTTTTCAAATAGCAATAGGGTAGTCATCTCGAGTAGGAGAAGTGGACTTACTGATTTATTCTTCCATTTCGGCAGCTGGACCCAAATCCAATTCTCGGCAAGAATCAGATTGCAAAACAACCTCAGGGATATGTTTTTTCCTTGTGTAGACACGAAGTTATTTTGGTTATGTTATTTTTAGAAGACTTTCAATGGGAGTAGGCGTATTTTCAGGAAGGGTGTTTAAAGTAGGTGTTGGTGAATTAGTGATAGGTATTATAGGAGAATCAATGGGAGTAGTCACGTGTGACAAATTGTGGTAAAGGCAAAAATAGTGGCAACTTTGAAGGTTGAGAATGAGGATTAGGAGGAGATACTGATGTGGTTGAAAATCCCTCCATGTCTCCCCTAAATTTCAGCCAAGTGAAATAGGGATCCTGCTCATAAAATGTTATATCCATAGTGGTAAAAAGTCGTTTAGAATGAGGATGATGGTATTTATAACCCTTTTTAAGTGAATAATACCCAATCAATACACATTTTAAAGACTTAGGATCTAACTTGGACTTATTATGAGTAATGTTTTGGATAAAAATAGTATAACCAAAGATTTTAAGTAGCAGAATAGAGGAGATAAGTTTAAAATGGGGAAAGTGTTGAAAAAATATAGATTAAAGTGTTTGAAATTGTAAAACCTTACTAGGCATTCAGTTGATTAAATATGTGGCAGTTAATAAGGCTTCCCCCACAAATATTTGGGAACATTAGTGGTAAATAAGAGAACGAGTAATTCAAGGAGGTGCCTATTTTCTTTCGGCAACTCCGTTTTGCTGTAAGGTTCCAACACAAGAACTAAGTTGAACTATGCCCTTTTCCTTGAAAAAAATCACCTAAAGACCTAACAAAAATTCACTACCATTAGATTTAAAGAGCTGGATTTTAGACCCAAATTGATTGAGAACCCATGTTATAAAATTGGGGAAAACACCAGTAATTTTAGATTTATCTTTCAGCAAATAAGTTCAAGTTATCCTACCTTGATCATCAATGAAAGTGATACTACTTACAATTATCAACATTCTTCACTCGAGAAGGGCCCCAAATATCACTGTGGATCATAGAAAAGGATGAAAAGGTTTGTATGTAGAAGAAAAATAAGATGATTTAGTATATTTGGCAAGAGATCAAAACTTTGCAAAAAAAAAAGAATTTGGCTTTTTATTAATGAATTGAGCAGGACACAATTTTGCAAGGTATTGGAAACTAGGATGGCCTAAACGAAAGTGCCATAACATAGCAGTATCAACTTTTCCTAAAGCGGTGAAATATTTGGAGATTTAGATTTTAGGAGAGGAAGGGAAGATGTAGAGACCATTATGCAAGTTGGCCTTACCAATCATCTTCTTCGAGTTCAGTGCCACAAAGTACAATCAATATCATTAAAAATTGCAAAGTAGTGCAAGTCTATGGAATTTTACTAACAGAAACGAGATTGCAAGCCATATTGGTACAAAGAGAACATTTTTATGTGCAATATGTTCATTGAGAACAACATGTCATTTTCTTCTATTTTGCACAAGGAACCATCAACCGTTTTGACAGCTTTACCAAAGGTTGGGAAAAAATTGCAAAACAAAGCCTTGTTACTAGTCATATGATCCGTAGCACCAGAATCGATGGTCCAATTAAAGTATAATAGGAGGAGAAAAAAATTGTAGCATAAGGGTTACCTTATGGTTCTTTAATGACCAGATTACCCTCATAAGGCCCCTGAAATTTTCCAAACAGTTTTTGAAGTTCAAAAATTTTTTTTAGTGAAGCTAGTGACAGATGTGGCAGCGACTAGGCTTGATTATTATCGCGAGAGTTCTTGGACTTCTAGTCCTGAGGCTTACCATGAAGCTTCCAACACTTCTTCTTGGAGTGGCCAAGCTTTTTGCAATGATCACACCAAGGTCTCCCCCGTTTGGAAGTGGGAGATGATTGATGGGTGAGAAAGGAAGATCCTTTATGAGGGGAATATGATTCATCAGGCAACATCACACACCTTCGGCTTTCTTCCTTCTTGATAATAGAGAAAGCCTCTCGAAATGAGGAAATAGAAGAAATAGCCAGAACCCTGCCGCGAACCTCGTCCAGGTCCATGTTTAAGCCTTGGAGAAATTGAAAAAGCCTTCGTTGAGTGACAATTTGCTGGTAAAAGGTATCATCTCTTGGATCTTCCCAATGTTGTGCATACAAATCTAATTTCTGCCAAAGGGCAATAAGGGTATAGTAAAGAGTGACGGGCATGGTTTCCGGCTTAAGGGTGGCTACTTGATCTTCAATATGATATAATTCAAAAATATTGTCAGTGCTAGAGTATGTTTCGTGGATTGCACTCCAGATTTCAGCAGCTGTGGTGTACAGAAGAAAGTTTCTACTTATTCTCGGGTCATGGAATTAAGGAGACAAGTCATAACCTGACCATTGTCACGCATCCACTTAGCAAAAACAGTTTCAATTGCAGCATGCTTCTTAATTTCACCAGTAACGTAGCCCAATCTTTCTCTGCCCAAGAGAAAAATCTTAACTAATTGGCGACCATTCAAGAAAGTTGTTGCCATTCAATTGTTGGCAGGTGATAGTCAGACCAGATAAATCTGATTGAGCATCAGAAGAAGAAAGATTTTCTGGATTTGAAGTGATCTCCGGAGTAGGAGAAGGAGATATAAGAGAGAAGTCGTGGGCATGGTCTAGGTTGGAAAGAAACCGTAACTTAATCTGATACCAGTAGAAATCTGAGCAATTCTCTGTATTTTCTTATTAATTCAATAGGACGTATTGCATCTTTATATATACAAATTATATCTCTAAATTAGGAAACTCTAAGTTAGGAAATATACTAATCATAGGAGATATGATCTCTTAAAATAAGGAATTATAAAAAAGAATATTTACAGAATCCCTTAACTGAAGAGATGGTAACAACTCATATATTTCTATAATTCCTACATGTTCAACTACCTTTTGTATATAAAGGTGGATTCTGTTCCATCAGCATTTTGGTGGAATGTTTGTTGGTTCATGTCTCGTTGGATGCTGCTAATGTGCGTCTGCACAATGTCAGGGAAGAAAGAGATCACTTCTATGAAGCGAATGATCAGATTGTTGCCCATTTGAAAACAAAGGTGGTGATATTTTCTTTCCTAGTTTCTATATTGTTTAATAAAGCTGTAAGGTCTATAAGTTACTACACCTTGATCTTACGGTTCAAATATATAAAGAAATGTTTCTGATATGTTAACAGGAAGATGAATTGTCAAAATCGGTTTCTACATGTAAAGTAGAAGCAGAAGTTCTCCATACATGGATTAATTTCTTGGAAGATACTTGGCATCTCCAGTCATCGTATGCAGAAATTAAGAACAAGCAAGTCGTGTATGGAATCTAACATTTCTTTCTTCATTGAGTACATAAATTATGTTTCTTGTAATCCTCCTTCATTGAATGCTTTCCGAATTTTCTGCATTGAAGAAAGTTAGTACTCTGAATTCTGCTCTTAATCCTCTAAATTTCGTGCTTAATACTGGCCTTTTTATCATTTTGGTTGATACTTGTTTGCATTTTCCAGTGAGGTATTGGAGCAACATGAGGACCATTTTGTGAACTTTGACATTACTCTTCTGTCTGCTTACAAGGTATGCAATAAATTCTGTTGGAAAAAAATACTTTGAGAACCCTAGTGATGGTTAGCTCTCTCTCGCTTATGCATTGCTTTTGGAACTTTTGTACTCTTTTGCAGAAAGAGCTGGGCTCTTCTATTAGCCATACCAATAAATTTGCAGAAAACCTGAAGAAATTGAGTGAGAGGTAATCTGTAATTTTTTTGAAAATTTTATTCTGGCCTATATTATGGTAAATTCTGATCCTTCTTTTTCCTTGGGGGGAAAAACAGATCAAAGATTACATCTAGCAGAAGAAATGATGATTCCAAAGAATTGAACCTGAGGAAACATCTCGAGGAGGAATATTCTGTTTATGAAGACAAGGTAAATATTACTTTTAATTCTTCAAACATGTTGAGACAGATATTTTTTATCATGTCTTGATTTGTTATTATCCAGCATTATGCTCCACTGACGCAGATTAGGCCCTCTGTCCAGCCATATATTTTTTCCGTCTGATTTTTCTTCTTTCAGCTAATTTTTCAGTGCTGAAAACATATAGTTTATTTTCAGTCGTTTTACTAGTTTTAAGCATCTTTTAGTTTAGTACCTGGTGTTTTATTAATTCCACATTTAAGCTAAGATTTGTGAATCTAGAAGCTATAGCTGCATACTTATTTAGTTGTTGGTCTTTAAAAATTGGTCCTGCTGGTTCATTGTTCCAGATTATAACCATCTTCAATGTGGTGAATAACTTGAAAGGGCAGTTTAATGCTAAGCATGGGACTTCAAGGTGAGATAAACACTTTCAGTGCAATCCTTGCCTTTTTCCGATTTGTGGGAAATTAATTTTTTAAGCCTGTCTCCCTCTTAAATAGGAAAGATGATCCAAAGGTTAAAGAGCTATTTGATGATATCGAGAAGTTGAGAGCAGAATTTGAAACCATTGAAAGGTCACTTTTAGAAATTGGGACTCCAAAGGTTGATAGTCTCGATGAGAAGCCACAGGAAACTTTATCTCCACACGCACCTCTGGAATCAGCACAACCTGAACCTGAGACAAAAGGGACTCCACAAAATGCATCAGGTGCTAGACGCTGCAGCCGAACTAGCAAAAGTCAGGAGTCGGAGTTTGGGAAGGTTACTCAAGACTATACGTCGGAGGAGATAGGTGAGTGGGAGTTTGATGAACATGAAAGGGAGTTGATTTCTGGTGATTCTGCATCAGGTAAATAGATCAGATAAATTATGCTCAAGGAAACTATAATTACATGTATCAATTATCAACTACCTACCAGCCAGAGCTGCACTTTTGAAAGAAGCTTTCACTGTAATTTCTGTAAGATTGGATGGGGTTTCAATTTGTTGATTCTTCTGTAAATACCTTCAACCTGTAATATGGAATTTATAGAACACGTGAATCAGTATCGTTTTGCGGAATATTTCTTCAGCCTTAAGAATTTGCAGATGTGATACGTGGAAATGGGTCAGGAAACGGCTGGATGAAGCAAGAGGCAGTGGTGAACTCCATGAAAACAATATTACCTACATTGAAAAAATGGTTTCCAGTTACAGAAATTTGAATTTTACATTTTCATCAGTAGAATAACATCATTTTGCAGGGAAGCCTCCGCAGCTTTCGACAACAGGGAGCGAAAAGCCAGCGGAATGGGAGCTTCTCACCATCAAAATCTTTTATACAAGGCAGGTCCTTATGACTTGGTCAAATGTTTCTTTCTTGCTGTTGTATTGGTTACACTGTTGTAGCGTGTTTTTCTTAACTTTTGCTAGTGCTGGTGGGATGCTCGGCAATCGTATCCCTCCGGCCGAGCTCGAAGCGGGATTTACTTCGTCAATCTCTACCCAAGAACAGGAGTTATCAACCTTCATAATCTATTCCAAAAGTAAGGGTCAGGAATGACTCGAACCTCATTCTTCTGCAGTTGATGTTACGGATCAGCCTCACTCTTCAGGCCAGCAGCCTTGCCCAGCATCTTCTGCCTATTGTCAGTCTGTTCAGCTGACCTCAGAGGATTCCAGTCACCCGGCACAGCATGTTTATTCTCGGCGGCGTGCCAGGCAATGGTGTCCCTCTGGTCGAGCTCGAACAGGGCTCTACTAGTACGTTGTCAATTCCTACCCAAATCTAAGAGTTCCCCTGATAATCCCTTCTTAGAGTTCGTGTCCAAAACATAGCAGCTGTGTTGTTACTGTTGCAGAGTAATGTTATCCCTAGCTTAAAGAGGGACCTACCTTGTCAATGCCTAGCACCCCTGGAATCATCATTTTATTTGCGGGGTTCAGTCAGACTAATATGTTTGTGGTTATCTTTTGCTCATACCTGACAGTTGATAAACAATCATTATTTGCGATTTTGGTTTTCTTGCCATCAATTTTCATTAGGGTAAATTTCAAATTTATTTCTTAAATTATCACTTTTATTCTAGTTTAGTATCTAGACTTAATTTTTTTTCCAGAATTATGCCTAATGTTCATTTTAAGTTTCAATTCGTACTCGTTTTTAAAAATTTAATGGTAACGATGACGTGAAATTTACATTACAAGACATGTGAAATATCTAAAAAGAAAAATATTTCCACCTCATTGCTTCCGCTAAGATTTTAACAACAGAATATCAAATTAAAACTTAAACTAAAAGTTAGATATTATTTTTAAAAAAATAAAATTTATATATTAAAATGAAATAAAAGTGATAATTTAGATATTGAACATGTAATTTATCCTATATTATTGTATCTACATGGCAGCAGCACCCTAGTCTAGGTACTGTCGGAATCGTGGTTATGTAGGGTAGGTCATTAGGAGTAATACATCTATTGTATCACTTTTTCGGGACATAAATAGTTGTGGTCACATCCTATTTCGATTATTATTGTGATTTCGTTTCTTTTCATCATTGATGTCAATGGTATAGATACAATAGTTTGGTGATGAAAGTTTTATACTAAAATAATGGGGAAAAAAAGAGAGATATCTCTTCGGAATAAAATGATCAAATAAAGTGAGTTTTATTAATTGAGCACTGACTGTATATTGTCTCATTTTATGTGATTTTAAATTTTAATATTTATCTTGAAAAAGTAATATTTTTTATTTAATTAAAATAAAGAATATCAAATAATTGTATTTTTATATTAAAAAATAACTAAACAATGGAAATAATATCTTTTATTTCAAATAATAAGTCAATTATTTTTTAATATATGTATATTAATGAAATAACAACCCACAAATATAATTTAGGGGTGTTCAATATTGATTTAGCTTAGACAGTCGGTTAATCATTATAACGGTGACTAAATTTTACTAACCATAACTTTTTTTTTATTAATATGAGGTAAGTACAAGGTAATATCTGTTCATATATAATTTTCAATCTTTTAACATTTAATGCTCACACTCTTACATTTATGGTACTCGAACCCAAATCCTCAATGAATAATAAAATAAGTTAGGGAGATTAAAAAGTTAGTATATGTTCTAAATACTTTCAACTATTTGGCATTGAACATTCAATCACGCTGCTGCAGTCGCTGGTGTTCGAACCCATAACCACTAGGAATAACAAAATAATATTTGTTCTAAAATTCTCACACCAATTTATAATTGTTACGTTAATTCTTAAAATTATAAAATTCCATATCACACCAAATTTATAAAATTATTTATCAAATAATATCTTATCAATAAAATTACATTAAAATTTAATCAAATACTATTAATTAAAATATTAAAATTTGGATTAATATCTCACGTCCAATATTGCTGAGTGGTTAATAGTGGGAAGTGCATTTGAGGGAGGAAAAATAGAAAGAAAAAAAAAACAAAGCAATTGATAAGAGTTTTCCATCCACATATTCCTATCTTTATTCCCTCCCACCATCAAGTGTCGGATCATTGTTTCCTTTTCGACAACTCACACTCTTTCATCGTCTTATACTTTTCAATTATTTCATATCATTTCAGAATTAGGAGAAAAAAACCCTAAAAAAGACAACTATTAATATGGATACTTGTACTGAACCTGAAGATTAATATAATTAATGCGTATAATTATTATTTTAATAGTCTAGTCTATTACAAAATAATATATATTTAAAAATTTTTAATTTATTAACAATGTATACAAACCTTACAAATACAATTATTCGAATAAAAAATCTCTGGGAATAACAACAATTTATTTTTCTATTAAAAACACTTGATTGATTCAATGATTAAATTATTTTAAAATAATATTTGACAAGGTAAGATATAAATTTTACTCTTTGTAATCTTTTCTGGTATCTATTCACTTAAATATCAAAGCTCATTTTGAACCTAAACTCAAATGAATTAAAATAACGACTACTATGATAAAATAAAATTACTTATTAATTTTTAGAGATTTGAATATTATTATTGTATTTATATATCTACACTATATTTAAAAATCTGATTAAGTTTAATATTGTCGTTAATCGGTCACAACACAATTAGAAATTATATTTTAAGGGTTTTGTATATATTATTTTATTGATGTTTTTTTTAATTCTTTTATATAATTTTAAATAAAATAAATTAGAAAAAAATACTCTTTAAGAATTGAATATGAGGATAACAAATTTAAATAAAATAATTTACTACTCAACATAAATTTGATCTACAAGCTTGGTGGTATTGACAAGCGTGTGATTGAGAGGTTCGAAAAGGAGGCTGCTGAGATGAACAAAAGGTCATTCAAGTATGCCTGGGTGCTTGACAAGCTCAAGGCTGAGCGCGAACGTGGTATTACCATTGATATTGCCTTGTGGAAGTTTGAGACCACCAAGTACTACTGCACTGTCATTGATGCCCCTGGACACCGTGACTTTATCAAGAACATGATTACTGGTACCTCACAGGCTGACTGTGCTGTTCTCATTATCGACTCAACCACTGGTGGTTTTGAAGCTGGTATCTCTAAGGATGGCCAGACCCGTGAGCATGCTTTGCTTGCGTTTACCCTTGGTGTCAAGCAGATGATTTGCTGCTGCAACAAGATGGATGCCACAACCCCCAAGTATTCCAAGGCAAGGTATGATGAAATTGTGAAGGAAGTCTCTTCATATCGGTACAACCCTGAGAAGATCCCATTTGTCCCAATCTCTGGTTTTGAGGGTGATAACATGATTGAGAGGTCTACTAACCTTGACTGGTACAAGGGTCCCACTTTGCTCGATGCTCTTGACCAGATCAATGAGCCCAAGAGGCCTTCTGACAAGCCACACAGGCTCCCACTTCAGGACGTCTACAAGATTGGTCGTATTGGAACTGTCCCTGTTGGTCGTGTTGAGACCGGTGTCCTTAAACCCGGTATGGTTGTGACCTTTGGTCCCACTGGTCTGACCACTGAAGTTAAATCTGTTGAGAAGATGAAAATTCAATGAATAACCTCTGATAACATTCATTAAGCTCATTATTAATTACGTTACAACTAGTTTATATAGAAGCTGTAACTTAGTGTATTTAACCTCTACAATAAACTCATAACAAAATCTAATATTTCTTAACAGCTATAACAACTCACTCTCACACACAATGCTCACATCAGCAGCACATACACACGTTACTGCATATTCTAGAATGCAGTCATGTATTCCAGAATATATTCTAATAATTTAAGAGTAATTATGTATTTTTTTATATTATTATTAAATTTCTGATTTGAGTTGATTTCGTCTATTAATAGATTATCGATTTATATAAAAATTATTAAATATTAATATTTTATTTAAATAATAATTAATATAATCTTTTTATACTTTTATATATTATTTAAATAAAACATTTAAAATTTAGTTGTCTAAATATCAAACCAATGTTTAATACAATTTATCCATAATATATTTAGTACTCAATCTATAATATTATTATTATATTATTATTTTTAAGAAAATATCATAAACATAAAATGTTTTTTCAACCAGAACTTTGGTGTGATAATCTAATTATTATTTTTATTAATCTGGGATAAATATAAGGTAGTATATGTTAAAAGATAAATTTTAATTTTTTGTCACTAAACGCTCACACCCTTAATATATATGGTGCTCAAATACAAATCATTAAGAAATAACAATAATTTCTTTACCACAAATCCACTTGATTCGTGCGATAATCTAATTTTTAAACGTTGTTCACATAATTAATAAATTTAATATAAATTAATTATCTTATTATTTGAAATTATTTAATAAATAGATTTTAGCAATATAGTTTTATATAAATCGAGGATTTAAGAAATGCCCTTTCAAAAGGAAAAAAATGCACAACTGTCCAATAACATCAATTTTAAGGAGACAAGGAGAGAGAGAAAAAGTAAATAAAAGCCCTGGAATTGAGTAAAAAAGTTATAACAAGTGAAAATAAAATGAAAAGTGAACCGTAGGAAAAGGGAACTTTGTATACCATACTATAATGCTTTTGTTTTATCAACTATATTCTAAAGCCACACAGAATATATAAATGAATGAAAAAGACAAAAAAATATCATTAAAATTTCATACCATTGCCTCTAAGCTTCCGAAAAATGGCGGATAACCTTGAAGACGACAATGAATACATTGACATGGAGCTCTCTTCGCATTATTCAAACTCCGTAAGTACGAGGGAGTTTGAATTCCAAATGTCTTCAGTTTCCATGGAAAGAGAGCCCACCAATTCCCCAGCCGATGACATTTTCTACAAGGGCAAACTCCTTCCTCTTCACCTTACTCTTCGCCTTGAAATGGTTCGAAAGTTGCTGCAAAACTCCATTAATGAAGGCGAAGCTTATACCACCACTCCATTAATGAAGCCTTCAACTGATGTTGTTATTAGAAGCATTGGTGAAATTGACCCCAAGAGAACTTGGACCCAAAGGCTCAAGTTCATCAAGCAATCATCCCTTGGCTCAATGCTGAAGGGTTATTCTAGGGTTTATTTCAGATCTTTGTTTGGTAATGAATCCACAAAGAAAACCCCATTGGAGCATGTTCAAATTCATCAAGACAATGGAAATCGCCATAGAAGATCGTTTTCTGTGGCCATCAAACGGCAGTCATCTCCGTCATCATCATCATCTTCGAGCTCGAATGCTTCAAATGGATATTAACATTTGCAGTTTCTTAAACGAAGCGACAGTGTGAATGCAGACATGGAGAGCCCCATTGAAGGGGCCATTGCAGATTGCAAGAAATCTCAGCAGTGGATTAGATCAAGAATAACTATGAGTGAAATTGAGTTTTATTTGATTTCCAGCTCTGACATTGCAGCTGGTGAAGAACATCAAGAGAGGCACCACATTTGTAGGGGCTGAAAGTAGTGAGAAAAACATGCATGAATCATCATATACAATTTTTTCTTATTTATGGTGTATAGAGATTCTCTTTGAATTCCTTAGCAAAATTTGAACAACCTGGGAAATTATATTCAACTTTTAATTGGTTAGAGTTGATCAAACACATTTGTTCGGTATGGATATATTCATTTTTCAGAAAGGTTTATTTTCATGTCCAGAATATTATATTTCTATATTAGTTTGAATATACGTGAAAGATTTTTCCATCTCCTCTGGATATCCTCCAGAGGTCGTACCACTGCGGCCATTCCTTCCTCTATTGAGCCTTACGGCTTTTGGAGCTCCATATCTTACATTACTTTAACGTGATCATTGATAAACTCACATGATTTACAATCTACTAGATAACAACTAGATCTATTTGTAACAAAATGAATTTTTGAGTCAAAACACATGAGGGTTGACCCGAGAGGACAAGAGACCATGTGAGAGTGTGTTTGAAACAGTTAGAAGAAAAGTGGGCCTAATCAGGTGAGATTTGGGCACGAATGATCATAGAAAGGATATTTTTGAGTTGAGACAAAATGAGGATGGACCAAATCAATAACTAACCCAATAATAAAAGAAGGCTGATTTTTCATTGATTTTCTTGTACCCCGGGGAAAAACAAGGGGAAAAACAAAGGCTTTCTGCACCCCTTCTTCATCTTTCCCCTTCTCATTATTTGCTCATTCTTCCATGAGCCAAAGGCCCGTAACTCACAGGTGATTGGTCATTTTTTTGAGAGATTTGGGTTCAAAGAAGGTGAGATTAAGCCCCTAGTCATCCAAGAGCTTCAAAATGAGCTCTACATCTTCCATGGAAGATTGTGTAGAGCAAGCTTGGGGTTTTGGAGAGGTTTTGAGTTCATGGCTAAAACAAGTTGATTTGACTTCATTTTTTGCATCATAAGTTTATTTCCACACTCCTTCTAAGCTATTGTTTATGTTAGTAGTATGTTTTACTCATCGGAGAAAAGACTGATGCAAAATGAGGCGTTAACACTGACTAGAAAATGTTAAAGAAAATAAAAAAAACATAACAATAATCGTGTTGTGGTGATCAATACTTTAAAAACAAATTCAGCTTGATATGTTTAACCACTACAATTGACGAATGCCCCTTGAGTATAAAATTGTCTCTCCAAAATTCGTACACCCAAAAAATGGGATGGATTGTAATGGTACTGATCTTCTCTAAAAACTCAAAATTTTACTCATAAAAGATTATGAAAACAGTAAGAGGAATGAGAGTGTTCTAAAGCAAATGTTATTTGCTTACGATCAAATCAAATGAGAAGAATTACCCAGTATTTACAAGTTGAATAGTGAGAGCAAAAAGTCATTCAATTAAACAACATTAAAATACTATTTAAAATAATATTAAACAACATTAAAAATGCTTTAATTCTAAGGATTAACAACACCTTCTAGTGCAAGAGGGGAGGAGAAAGTGAGTGTTAACTAAGTAAAGGAGCTTTATTTCGGCTTTTGGACATCAAGGTAGTACACTTTTAGCTTTGAAATGCTTCTTGGGCTTTATAATAGTGATGCTTTTCTTGATGGTTTATGCAAGTTGAGTTTAAAGTGGTTTTTGAGTGATTCTCGAGCTTGAAATAGTCATTGCTTGTCTTTTGTATCAATATTATTCTTCAGGTATCAATATTGTATGAACATGAGTAGAAATAAGGGCAAAAAGAATTAAAAGTTCGATACTTATGTTAGAGGTATCAACATTGTTCATTAGGTATCGATACTAAAGGTAGGGTATTAATACTATCAACAAAGTTAGAATTCCAGTCTGTCATTTTAGTATCGATACTACCTAAGAATATTGATACCCTAAGGTTGTGTATCGATATCCTAAGTTTGAATTCTAAAATGAACATGTTATTGAGGGATGATTCCTAATAAAATATTAAGCCTAAAGAGAGGCCTAAATGTGCTAATATGACCAAAATACTGTCCAGAATGATAAATTACCAAGATACCCTTATACGGGTAAAAATTATGAAAATACCTATATATAGGCAAAATTATGAAAATGTCCGTAAGTACATCAATAAAAAAAGAAAAAAGTACAATTAAAATATATGTAACACCCTAAACTCGATGGGAAATCTCTATCGAGTTTAGTGAGGTCCCGGTTTTGAAAAACATCATAGACCTCTAAGGAAGTTGGGAGGAGCCATTACCGTTAGTAGAGTTTGCCTACAATAACAATAATCAGTTGAGAATTCAGATGGCTACATATGAAGCCTTGTATGGTCGAAAGAATATGACTCCATTTTGTTGGACAGAGCTCAGTGACGGTAAGATAATGGGTCTAAATTTGATCAAAGAAACCAAAGAGAAGGTTCGATTAATCCAAGGTCAGTTGAGGGAAGCTTTCGATAGATAGAGGTCATATGTGGACTTAAAGCGTAAGGATATAGAGTTTGTGACAGGGGACCAATCCATTTTTGGGATATTTGAGCCTTAGGAAACCCTCTTAACATCTTTTATATGCTCTCAATCAACTTAGTAACTCATGTGATTGATTTTTTCTAGTGAGAGAAGTTGAAAAAAACTCTAAAAGCAAGGGGAAAGAAAAGCTAGCACTTGGTTGAGACTTGAGTGTTCCCAACAGCTTACAATTCAAGGTAACACATTTCTAACTCATCAATACCTCTTGTAGATCACTAGATGTGTTTGGATGGTTTGTATAAGTTTATGAAGCATGTAAGAGCATTCATGATAGATTTAAATTTATGATGTTATACACAATATACATGTCATATTATGACCCGTATTAGCTTACATAAGACTTAAATAATGTTTAAGGGACTTACAAGGACTTATGGGTGAAGTTGGTTGTCACTTTACGTGTTTAAACAAAGCATTTTTAGTTTGGGTATCAGTACTGGATGAGCAGTACCGACACTATTCTTCAAATACAAAAAACAAGGGTTTTGGCTAGTGGTATCGATACCCTATTCATATAGAATCAATACTTTACATTGGTATCGATACCTAAGGGTAAATTATTGGTACCATATTTATATTATAGATTCCAGAAACCAATTATGGTGTCCGTACTAAGGGAGTATCGATACTATATAAAGCATAAGTATCAATACCTTATGTAAGGGTATCGATACTAATTTTAGTTTCCAAAAACATCAAACCTAAATTTAGTATTGATACCTTAAAATAATAGTATCGATACTCTAAATAGGGGTATCAATACTACAAGACTTTCTCATAACCTAGTAGCTAGTTTTAGTATCAGTGTCAAAGGTGGGTATCGATACTAAAGGGTTAGTACTAATACTAAAGGGCTTAGTATCAGTACCATCATCCAAAATTGGGCAAGAAACCCAAATTGGATCCAAGAGTTTGAGAAAGGGTCTACAACCATGAGAACTCGTTTAATAAAAATACAAGTGAGAACATATAATGCATACAGTAACAACTAAAAATGATATGATTTATGATATCATAAATTTAGATATTATTTAGTGCTCGGGAAACAGTAATGACACCTAAGTTACTCTAGTAGTATGACGATCATCTTGTATGATTAGATTACTCAAAAATATCTGTAACACCTATATACGTATACATTTTGTATATTAATACAAATGTCACATAACTTTAAAACTGTTTACTCATTTTGAAAATAACCTTTAAAATTTTGTTGAAAACTTAATACCACATAAATAAACATAATACATAAGTATTCATTATGACCTATTACAAAATATTTTGTTATATTTAATTACATGCCAAACAAGTTTCCAAAATGATTTCTATTGTCCTAATGTTACTGGTGAGTCAACCTTAGTGGATGATATTTGTTGCTACGACTGTACTTCTTACTTGATTATTCTTTGTTGTTACCTACGCGTGGAAATACACACATTAAGTATATCTTAGTGAGTCATAATATAGTAAATAAACCCTTATGTATACATAAATATTTTATTCACAATTATTATAATCATTTGTCATGATTCTTTCTTTTCATTTGTAACCTCCATTCATGTTTATAATACACCATTATGCACTTTAAATTATAATATATTTTTTTGTTGATAATGTATCCATATGCATTTCAACTATTGTATACTCTTCTATTGATACTGTACCCATATACATTTCAACTATAGTATACTTTTCTGTTGATAATGTACCCATATACATTTCAACTATGGCATCCTTCCATACCGATAATGCACCTATATACATTATTATTTTCATTCGTTTTAGAGCAATTCATACTCTAAACTCATTCACAATATCATTTCTATGTATTCAATAAAACATAGTAATTATGGTAAAAACATACATTAACATTTAAATAATTCATATTGAATAATTTCTAATCATTTTCATCTAGATTGCATACAAGAAATGTACTCACCTGACTTTCCTTGATAAGTGTCTAAAAAGTAAGGATGATTACTCCGGGAATTTGCCCAGATTGCATACAAGAAATGTACTCACCTGACTTTCCTTGATAAGTGTCTAAAAAGTAAGGATGATTACTCCGGGAATTTGCCCTTTCCCTTAGTTTTGCTTGTCTCGAGAGTTTCGTTCTGATCTATTCAAGCATCCATTAAACATGTGTCATACTCAATGTTAGTATATTTCCTAACCATTATAAGTAAAACATATTCAAAAGAATATATTATTAACTTTCTATATCATTATCAGCCTATTTTTAACATTTCTGGTTCCAAAGTATCGATTCTACTACCCTAGTACCGATACTTCTACACTAGGGTACCGATA